TTGATTTTGGTCACCAGTGACATCATCAAATTGGTACACAACTTGTGTTCTAGAGTAGGGTTTGATAAACTTCTCCATAGGGGCCTACTGTACTGAGTTCCACAGTAAAAACACATACTGTGTGGCCCAAATGCAACAGCACTACTGCCAAATGGATTAAAGGAATGGTGCAGTTCCAGCATTTGCTAGTATGCACGAGGCTCCATGCAGATGCATGCCAACCAATTTTTCGTGCCCACTCAGGAACATCTGCCAAGATGCACACAATGCACTTGCTATGCATGTGTGTAAATTTCAAAGAGCTATGAAAGGAAAGACTGTCTGTGGTGTCTGCAGCTGTTTGTGTCCATGCCTACAACTGAGCATGGGTTTGCTTAGAGACACTGCTGGGAAGTTAATTCCCTGTCTACCATCATGAAAAGACTGAATGTGTGCTATTTCAGCAGGAGAGCTTTGTTGCCTGTCATAACTTGTGACCATTAAGTACATGAATATCAGCCTTTATGTTTTTTAATATGTGTAAAAAGAGCTTATTTGCCTTTCATCCACACACACTCGGTGACTCAAAAGCTTTGGAATGAACTCGTCTCTGCAACCCCAGTTATATTAGACACAAATTTAAAGTCAGACTAGAATGCCCTCCTTCTGTTTTCTCTCATTCTGAGATGATGACAGATCAATGTGGTCACCCCTACATTCACATCCAGACTGATCTCTGTTGCAAGTACTGGTCATATGTAAGAATGCCAAAATTAAAGTACAGCATGACTTTATTAGTTACTTTTGGGAATCACTCTACCCATTGTTGATCTCCAAGATCCATATCCGTTGGTACAACCCTTTTCTAGATTAAATTTAAAACCTGTAATTTTTATTAAAAGTGAGGTGTAAAAAAAGACTCTACCAATATTATTTTATTTTCTTCCAGAACAACAACATCACTGAGGTCAATGTGGACACCTTCTGCAGGTCCAATGACACCTATTACCTACGACCAAGTCTTAATGAGGTCCGCCTTGATGGCAACCCAGTGGTGCTGTCAAAATACCCCGACAACTTCACCTGTATGAAAGTACTGCCTGTTGGAAAGTACCGTTGAGGAGACTGAAATTTAACTGTACTCCCTTTGTTGCTGATGGAAGTTTTCCCACAACAAAGAGCTGGGAGACACCATGGTATTTTGGATTTGTGGAGCTGGTCCCACAGATGTCAACGTTTTTACTTCGGCAAACCTACAATCAGCATGTATCAGGTCAAAATCAAACCTCTGACTGGACTGAAGGTGTTCATTAACTCACCTAAAGGCCTTTTACTGACTGGTGGGCAGTAAAGGAAATTTCATCAGTGTAATTAATCTCAATATGCTTCAAACAACCAGTTTGTCTAACCACATTTAAAATTAGTGTTTCTACCTGTAATCAAAATAATAGAGTCAAAGCCGGCTGTCATGTATACTTGGCTTAATCCCTTATCTCTTTAAAATAACTGTAATGTGGTGTATTACCCTTGGTGCACTGAAACATTTTACACCTGCACACGCATAACCATTGAAGTGGCAGTATTTGTTAGATTGTTGCAATTTCTAAGGCTTAAATCCCACAAGGACTTTCCTGGTAGCCTTAAAGCACCCTTTTCACAGGTAATAAAATGCTACTACAACTACTATAATCCTATAAATGAGTGCAGCAGTTTTAACAGTTCTACACTGACAGTCCAAGTTGTTGTTTCATTTTGACCTGCTGATTTACTACATGGATGAACCAATCTTAACAACAACAAAAAAAATCCCAAAACAAACAAAACTACTTGTGACCTTGAAACAACAGAAACACCTGCTGTCACAAACGAAGAGGCTTTCTTGCAGCCCAATGTCTTCAAATTGTTAGTAGACTGTATCTAATTGTGAGCAGTAAGAAAATGTATTTATATTTCAAGTTATTTACTGTAAGCATCTTCATTTTTGCTGTTTTTGCTCATCTAAACAACTGACTTTTAACGCAAAATCTGACATTTCAAAGTTTTACCTAAAATTAGCAACAAAATGCTACATCAAAAACAATAGATCTAAATGAATGGACCCAAGGCAGATTTTTCAGATTTACCTCTGAGTAAAGGGCACTCAATATATGACTGAAGTGCAGTTTAATTGATGCATTAGTGATTATAATAATGTTTTATTTTTAAAGTTTCACATTCAGTTTCTTCACAATTAAATTGTCACAGCTGAATGAAAATTGTGGTACAAAAAGTATATTTAGACATTTTTAGTAAAGCCAAATCGAAACATTCTTGTGCTGATAACTGACATAATTCATGCTGTCTGGTCTGTATGTTTAAGCTAGGACTCTGGCACGTTCCTGTATGGGAAGATCCATATTTATCACAAACTGACTCTTCATGCAACCCTGTTTTGATCCATGTGTTTTCTAGTGAGCTGTTCCTATCTTTACTTGTCTTTAAGAAAGTCATTACTTGACATTTTAGAGTCCTGACAACAGGAGGGAAGAAGCAGGATTGAAGTAATTTTAGTTATACAAAAGGAATACTTGATATCTGCATGCTGATCTATATCTAGTAGATCTATATCTTCAATAGAACATTGTCACATGTCCAAAAAAAAAACAACAACAACCCAACAACAACAACAACAAAAATATCCTAACTGGCCACAAATCTGTGATCATTGTTAACATTCCTCTTTACGTTAACTGTATGTAGCTTTAAGATATATATTTTTTCTTTGCTGATTAAAAACTACATTTCTTGAAATACAAGAATATTGTGTAAATACGTTAACTAAGTGAAAAGTGTGTTTTGTTCTGCTATTGTGTGGATTAATTGCACTTTTCATTATTCCATTAGACTTAAGTATTTTGTGACTTACCTTTGTTTTCTTAATTTATAGACTCCAGCAGAAATGAACTGGGGAACAATGTATCTATGAATTATAGTAATGTGAAAGTTACTCCTCTTGCTTCTATAGTGTCTTACGTTTGTTCCCAACTCTTCCCTACCATTAATTAAAATTAATTTAGAGATTATTACTGATGTGAATAAGATAGTGGTGTACAGGAATATGTTACATGGCTATGTTTGAAGATATTCTAATAAAGTTCAACTTTTTTTTAATATAATGTGTTTGAAATCAATATTAGAGTAAGCTTCACTTAAAAGCACTTTAGGTGGTTAGTTAGACTAGAAATTTACTGTAGAAATGCCAGTTAATTTTGAAAAATAATATTGTTTTCAATATATAAATTATATATTACAACAACATGAATGATGTTATGTAAGGGGTTTTAGAGGTGTCGTATATAAAGTGGTTTTGGTTTGGAACTTGAGTTTTTACTTGTTGATATCACTGCTAAAAGGGACAAACACGTTTCATTTTTTTGGTGAGAATTTCATGTCAAAAGAATATATAAGGAATATATTTCTATATTTACTTAGAAAATTCACAACCATGTTAAATATGTATTTTGCCCACTCTAACGGTGTTTTCAAGCTGCTGACAGCTACTATGTGTCCATTACACATTTATTACAATAGTAAAGTGAATAGTAGAAGATACTGATAATAGTGAACGACAATCAGTCCTTTTGTGACAGCTGCAACGATGGCACAACCATCAACGTCAATCAGTGTTCACAGTGAGTTGACTACAAATACAAAGAACTGTGGATGAAGAAAACACCAGGGGTAAGTAACAATGTTGTGTTCGAGGCAAGTAACAGCTTGTACATTAGACAAGTGTGCATGCTCCAGCTAATGATAGTAAGTTCTTGGTCATAATAAAGTACTGGAAAGACAGAAGTCGATTTTTACTTCAAACCACTAGCACAATAAACACAAACAGCAAAACAAAAATTGCTGAACTCAGCATGTGGATATTGGTTTATGCATGTGTGGAGAAATTTCCAACTACCTATCCACAATACCGAAAACCCAGTTAGCACTGAAATTGTATGTTGCTAATTATACCTGTTGTTGTGTACGACAGAAACTGCCTTATTAATGCTATCCAGAAAAAACTTTAGGATTCTTGTGCAGAGATGTATGTCAGCTCCTCTGCTTCTGTATTTTTATATGTTTATTCCTCCAAGTACATGTTTTGTCTGTGTGTGTCATAAAAGCGTGGAATACATAACAGCAAAACAGTTATGGTGGGAAATTTGTTTTTCCATACAAGACCTGAAAAAATGCAAGTAAAGCAAAATAAGAGTTTGGAACACATAGACCAGTATGGAAAATGTGGGTTAATCCTCCTTCAGCTCAGCCAACTTGGCAGAACTTTGCATTCTCCAAGTAAACAGGAGAATAGGTTCCACATTGCTTGTGCAGCTTGATGTACTATTTGATATTTCATTGCTACCTCTTCAACAAAGTCCCACCCTAATATCTCATATTATCATGCTCGCACCACTTCACACCTACTGCATTAACCCATGGTATTCTACGCTTTTCATTCCTCTTCAATTGTCTATCTCTGCAGTGTCACTTTTTGGAGGTGTTGTATTTTCACTATTTACACTTTATAAAAAATATTCTCTGAAAATCAGATAACAGAAAAAAGACAACTCACATAGAATAAAAAGGATGACCCATAATGATGAATCATCAACAGGAACATTTTTCCACCTATATCGATTCACCTAGGTATCCACATAGCCATTCTTTGTACATTCACCAAGTTTAACCTTAAGACATATGTCTCCATTAAATTTCTCTCACATTTAACCAAACCGCTCTTTAACTAGATAATCTATGTGCACTTCTTCACAATACCACTAGATGTCTACATGATCTCTCTGTATTTATTACCGACTACAATGGCCTACTTAGCCTGCTCAAAAGCAGAGGAGGATGCCTACTGGCAATATGTATGGGTCTGATTAGCTACTCTTAGCTCATGACGTACAGATCAGGTGGTTAAATTTGTTAGGTTTGTGAGGGCGAGTTTGCCGGACCATCCATTTTGGTGCATGTGTGTTTTCACTTACTTGGAATTGTTGGAAAGTTCTGCTTCGGTCATCACATCTGTCTGAAAAAGTTCTTAAGGTCCTGAAGAATAGCAGAAGATCCCTGCTCTCCTCTACCCTGAAATTACATTGCACAGATCACTAAAGCAGTTTATTTAAGCCCCCCACCAAGTAGCCAAATGGCTCCAGCCCATGCCACATGAGTTTAACATTCATAGTTTGATTCCAAACAGGGACCTTGTGCACCTCTCTCCTTTTGATTTTTGTATGCCAATTCGCCCTTACTGGGCCAACAAAGGCAGAATGCAAAAATCATTAAGAACACTTTTTTAAGCTATCACAATCCTCAACAGTATCCTGGAAATACTGATTCAAAGTGTGCATGCATGTTAGTGTGCTATTGTTTGAGAGTTTGCACTTAAAACACAGTACAAGCTTGATGGTATGGTTATTGCTTTGACAGGAATTTGGTCATAAACCAGGATAGTCACTCCATACAAATTTATTTTATGTAAGAGTAAATATCCTCCAGCAGCCTACAGATGGCTGGTTGTGGTGGTGGAGGAAAACGGTTGCAGTGATGTCAAAGGGGGAGCAGGAAAATTTTGTAGCTTATTTAGAGTGTCAGGTTGGTTTGTTTGGTTGATGGTATGAGGAGAATGAGGCAAGTTACAACAATTGGAAATCATTACTGCCATTACAGGGAGTGCAGAATTATTAGGCAAGTTGTATTTTTGAGGAATAATTTTATTATTGAACAACAACCATGTTCTCAATGAACCCAAAAAACTCATTAATATCAAAGCTGAATGTTTTTGGAAGTAGTTTTTAGTTTGTTTTTAGTTTTAGCTATTTTAGGGGGATATCTGTGTGTGCAGGTGACTATTACTGTGCATAATTATTAGGCAACTTAACAAAAAACAAATATATACCCATTTCAATTATTTATTTTTACCAGCGACACCAATATAACATCTCCACATTCACAAATATACATTTCTGACATTCAAAAACAAAACAAAAACAAATCAGCGACCAATATAGCCACCTTTCTTTGCAAGGACACTCAAAAGCCTGCCATCCATGGATTCTGTCAGTGTTTTGATCTGTTCACCATCAACATTGCGTGCAGCAGCAACCACAGCCTCCCAGACACTGTTCAGAGAGGTGTACTGTTTTCCCTCCTTGTAAATCTCACATTTGATGATGGACCACAGGTTCTCAATGGGGTTCAGATCAGGTGAACAAGGAGGCCATGTCATTAGTTTTTCTTCTCTTATACCCTTTCTTGCCAGCCACGCTGTGGAGTACTTGGACGCATGAAAATCATGTTTTTCTTGAAGGATGCAGACTTCTTCCTGTACCACTGCTTGAAGAAGGTGTCTTCCAGAAACTGGCAGTAGGACTGGGAGTTGAGCTTGACTCCATCCTCAACCCGAAAAGGCCCCACAAGCTCATCTTTGATGATACCAGCCCAAACCAGTACTCCACCTCCACCTTGCTGGCGTCTGAGTCGGACTGGAGCTCTCTGCCCTTTACCAATCCAGCCACGGGCCCATCCATCTGGCCCATCAAGACTCACTCTCATTTCATCAGTCCATAAAACCTTAGAAAAATCAGTCTTGAGACATTTCTTGGCCCAGTCTTGACGTTTCAGCTTGTGTGTCTTGTTCAGTGGTGGTCGTCTTTCAGCCTTTCTTACCTTGGCCATGTCTCTGAGTATTGCACACCTTGTGCTTTTGGGCACTCCAGTGATGTTGCAGCTCTGAAATATGGCCAAACTGGTGGCAAGTGGCATCTTGGCAGCTGCACGCTTGACTTTTCTCAGTTCATGGGCAGTTATTTTGCGCCTTGGTTTTTCCACACGCTTCTTGCGACCCTGTTGACTATTTTGACTGAAACGCTTGATTGTTCGATGATCACGCTTCAGAAGCTTTGCAATTTTGAGGCTGCTGCATCCCTCTGCAAGATATCTCACTATTTTTGACTTTTCTGAGCCTGTCAAGTCCTTTTGACCCATTTTGCCAAAGGAAAGGAAGTTGCCTAATAATTATGCACACCTGATATAGGGTGTTGATGTCATTAGACCACACCCCTTCTCATTACAGAGTTGCACAGCACCTAATATGCTTAATTGGTAGTAGGCTTTCGAGCCTATACAGCTTGGAGTAAGACAACATGCATGAAGAAGATGATGTGGACAAAATACTCATTTGCCTAATAATTCACACTGAACACTGGTGCTCCACAGGGGTGTGTACTGAGCCCTCTCCTATACTCACTCTACACCTACGACTGCACAGCCACTAACAACTCCAACATCATTGTGAAGTTTGCGGACGACACTACAGTGGTGGGTCTTATCACCAATGGTGATGAGACGGCCTACAGGGAGGAGGTCAGCGCCCTGACCAACTGGTGTCAAGACAACCATCTCACACTCAACGTCGCAAAGACAAAGGAGTTGATAGTGGACTTCCGGAGGTGCAGAGAAGTACACACCCCCATCACCATCAACGGCGCTGCTGTGGAGAGAGTGAGCAGCTTCCGGTTCCTTGGTGTACATCTGGCTGAGGATCTTACGTGGTCAGTACACACAAACAAAACAGTGAAGAAGGCGCAGCAGCGCCTCTTCTTTCTCAGGAGACTGAAAAGATTTGGCATGAGCCCTCGCATCCTCAGGACCTTCTGGTTGTGTTTACTGACCTCGAAACGATTTTATGTGGTACACGGTGCTCGAAAACCAGTTGAATGATTTAGTACGACTTTGCTAAGCTACGGAGCTGCACCGCTTGATGGATTGTCGGAGCATTACGGCTATCGTAGGCAGGAGCCTCGCGGAGTGATAAGTACTGTGCCTCAACATAATATTACTGTATTGTGTGTGTATAACCTCTTTTTAAGTTTTGTGGATATTATATATGGTTATGCTGAGGATATGTCGGCCAATTTCCACTGGAAATGCCTTTTGGTTAAACTGTGAGCAAGGAATTTGCATTTGCACTGTTACATTTTTATAATACTTTAATGCACATAAAAGCTGCTTGTTTAAGTGAAAATACATTGATGTTTTTTGTTTGTTTTTTTTGCACTAATAAAGTTGTGGAGTTGTAAAGTGTTTTGTCTAGTGTCAATTATATCGTCAGTTATATCGTTATCGCAAATTTTCTAATGTATATCGTGATAAATATTTTGGGTCATATCGCCCTGCTCTAGACACCATATTGACCTGAATAAAATCGACAAAATATACAATTATAAGTTCAGATATTGCTAGAGAGTTTGCAAGTTTTATTTGCAGACTTCAAGTTGTTACCATTTGTTTTGAGCCTGTTTATGTCAAAGTTAATCAGCAGTAAAATTGTTTTATGAGGCCGGTTCAGCCTGTAGCAGATTGTAAAGGCTCAGGTAAGACATTCTCCTGCCATGAAATACATTCATAACACCAAACATTTCCCTCTAAATATATCACCTAACTAATTGGGAAACCTCTTAAAAGCCCTGAGAATATGCTTTTTCAACAAGATAAACCTTTAAACAAATAAGGGAGTCCTGACAGATCCATTTAAATGACTGTTGTCAAATTATTATAACTTATATAGGTAAAAACAGGTTTTAGAAAGCTGTCTTGGTGATTAATCTTAATTGTAATTTAAATATACTTATACAAGAAATATATTGTCTAAAGAGGTAGTTTGCAAAAAAAATGCCTACTTCTATATAATGTGTTGTATGTCATAACAGAAATGGCAAAAAAAAGTATTTGTTTTGGTCTGTCTGAGTGAAACTGGGACATTCAGTTAAAGGATTTCCAGAGTTTTCCATGGGGGCCCGGGGCTAGACGGCAGCCGGGTTAAATTTCCAGATGATGTTATTCCACACAGACCTGATGGAAACATGGCAGCACCCTGCCATATAATGGAGGAGGACCAGAAAGACAGAGAGAGGAAGAGAGAGGGAGAATGGGACCAATGCCTAGTTTGACTGATTTAGTCCTACTGCTTCTGAAGAATCTATAAAATATTCTGTGTACACTGGTAGTAAATCCAATCAGCTTGCTATCAAGTAAGATCTGGAAGGAAAAAACAAAAAACAAACCATTCTGGGAGGATATGGTTGGGGTCATCACCGATGATGACTTGGATTTACAGGATTAATGCAAAGTTCTCCAAATTACTGGATGCATTTTGTACAAAAAGATGCACACGTGACATAACAGTTGCTGCACCTTTAAAGCAACAGCTGTTGAAAAAACAAATCTGTCTTTGAGAGGCAAATCTGATGAATATCTCCTGCTCCTATAATGACCTCAACACAGTGTGCACAATTTCCTGACACAATCAGTGTGACAAGTTAAACTGCACTTCAGACAGCACTGACAGCCTGACGGTGTTTCCCCCACTGGAGGCTAGAAGTCAAAAACATTTCATAAATAAGCTGGCCTGGATCTCCACACGACAAACATCCATAAAAGAGTCTGTCTGATGTAATCTTCTTTAAATCCAGTCCTTTAAATCTATCCCAGACTGCAGAACACCAACAGTGTTTCACATCAGTTACCCCCGAAAACAAAGAAACCTCTCGGTTTTGAAGACGCCAAGATATTACATAGCAAATTTATTTAAACTTGACTTAAAAGCCTGAAACAGTTGTATTGTAACCTGCTGTACAGCTGCCAACACATAACCTCACCTGCCTGAAAGTTGCTCTCAATACAGATACAAAATGACTCATTATTAGCTAATAATGACAATCCGCAGCATCTTTCTCACCTTCAGCACTTTTTACAGCCTTGAGTAACTGCAGAGATTCTGTATATCACTGTGAATACTATCAAAACATGGGTGGCCACAGAGAAGTGCTGTGCTACTTTTAATACTAACAGAGTTAAGAGATCACTTCACTGAGCCAGTGGGACAAATGTGAAAACAATATATGTGCGCTGGTTTAATACAATGAACAAAGGTCCTACTGTCAGTATTTATCTTCAACAGTTCAGACCACATTGACTTTACAAAGATTATCCATCTGATTTGGATAGACACACACACACACACACACACACACACACACACACACACACACACACACACACACACACACACACACACACACACACACACAGAGAGAGAGAGAGTTTCTGACAAGGCACCAGTGTCTTGAATCATTATCTCAAGTATTTTTCCATCTGTTGTTTGCCAAATTCTTCAGACTGGGCCACACAATCCAGATGTGGTCTAGCCTCAGATATCAGACTTCTGCTCTTTGCTGCTGATTCACTGACAGACCAGGCGCTTTCTGGCAGATTGCGGTCATAGGGACAGAAAATGCACCTGGGTATATAAAAACCACATTTAGTCTATAATCCACAAACAAAGAGAACATCAGTTTGATTTTACAGCAGAAAACTGCTCGTCTGCACAGCAAAATACTATAATATACAGTCATGTGAGAAAATGAGGACACCCTTTGAAAGCCTGTATACTTAAAATATTTTTGGAGATGTGGATATTTAATATCAATTTTAATGATACTGAGGGATCCAAATAATATAACTAAACAATTAAAAAATAAGAAAAGCCTTTCTAAAACCTTATGTGAAATGTAATTTTAAAAGAATGCAATTTCTGGTGAGGAATAAATTAGGACACCCCCACTTATTATCCCACTTAAAATGGTTAAAATCACACACACAGGTGTATCTTGTCAGGTGCACATGATCAGTACATCATTAACCAGGATTTTAAAGGAGCCTTGCCCTATTTAGTTTGGTGTGCTCCTGACTGTTGAAGTGAACGCCATGGTGAGATATAAAGAGCTGTCTGATGCCCTCAGAAAGAAGACTGTGGCTGCTTATGAGTCTGGTAAGGGATTTAAAAAGGTCTCAAAAGAATTCGACATCAGCCATTCCACCACCATCAATTGTTTACAAGTGGAGGACATTCGAAACAACTGCCACCATGCTCAGGTCTGGTCGTCCAAGCAAATTCTCCCCAAGAGCAGATCACAAGATGCTCAAAGAAGTCATCCAAAATCCTAAAATGTCATCATGGGAACTACAGCAGGCTCTGGCTACTGTCGATGTGAAAGTGCATCACCCTACTATCAGAAAAACACAAGTTTGACTTTCATGGTAGGTGTGCAAGGAGGAAACCTTTGCTCTCTAAGAGAAACATTAAGGCCAGACTGAAGTTTGCCAGAGCGAACGTAGAGAAAGACCATAACTTCTGGAATTATGTTCTTTGGACAAATGAGTCTAAAACGGAATTATTTGGACACCAGAACAGTAGACATCCATAGTCTTGGAATGGCCAAGTCAAAGCCCTGATCTTAATCCTATTGAGATGCTGTGGGGTGACTTGAAACGGGCTGTACATGCAAGAAAACCCTCAAACATCTCACAGCAGAAAGAATTCTGCATTGAGGAGTGGGGCAAACTTTCTTCTGATCGTTGTCAAAGACTGGTAAAAAGCTACAAAAGGCGTCTCACTGAATTTATGTCAGCCAAAGGGGGCAACACTAGTTATTAGGGGGTAGGGTCTCCTAACCTTTTCCTCCATTAAAATGCACCACTTTGGTGCACGCAACAATAATCTAGTTCACTCAGAGCACAGCAGGAGATTCAATGGAATTAAAAAAGAAATGAAGAAATAGAAATAAATAGTATTTGTGGGAATGTACTTATCCAGCACAAAACACATTTACTGTTGGATTTATGAAATGTGTGCACCAGCCTATTTGTTCTTACCAACTTGTGTATAAATTAATATCTGCATACCCGTTTCCTTCAAGATGAAGTAGAGAAAGTGGTGGAATTGGTTTAAATCACAAGGTTAAAAACTACCTTGTGACTACATTTACGATTTTGTTTTGCTTACATGCAATTATATTTTTTATTTATTTGATTGCAATTCTGTACATATGGTGGCTTATGGTGTTTAGGAAAACAATCAATAATCTAAGAAATAATAAGATATAATAATAAAAATATTTAATATTACTATTAGTAGTACTTTTTAAAAAAAATTATATTGATTGTATATTGTATATTGTACTCATTTTAAAGACTTGTGTTTGAAATTTCCTAACAGAGCCAGGCCATCATTTGTGGTAAATGGCAATCGGACTGGTTCTATAACACTTTTCTACTCTTTTTCTACTTTACTGTGTACTTAAAGCACTTTATATACCACGTCTCATTCACCCACACAACATTCACACTCTGATGAATGCATGGGAAGCAATTCTGAGTTCTGTATCTTGCTTAAGGGCACTTTGGTATTTGCAGACTGAAACAGTGAGATATTTGAACCACAACCACCTGCCTGGCCACAAAAACCCTCTAAATTTGTTTGAGTGTTAGAGTACGAACAAATTCAGGCATGAACATACTAATAAATCCTGATTTGTTCATGCGCTTGATTTACGCACAAATATGTGCGTAGGCACTGTTAATAACTTGTCATTTACTTACTAGCTATAGTTTTTAAAGAAACATGCACTTCTCTTGTTAAACACACAAGCAAAACCAAAAGTTTCACTAGACCATGGTGTTAAACCTTTTCCACAGTCCATATTAGCTTCTCTTCACTGGCCTACTGTTAAATCCTGAACTTAAATTCTGCATGATCAAGCCCTGTCATATATTAACAGTATTAGATTATTCCAAAAAAGCACTTAGCTTCAGACTACAGGTTTACTTGTGGTTCCTAGAGTTTCTAAAAGTAGACTGGGAGGCAGAGCTTTCAGGTATCAGGTCCATTTCCTGTGGAACCAGCTCCCAGTTTGGATTTGAGAGAGACACTATGTATACTTTTAAGATTAGGTTAAAACTTTCTTTTATGATAAAGATTACAGTAAGGGTTAGACCAGATAACCCAAGACCATCTCTTAGTTATGTTGCAATAGATTTTGGTTGCTGGGTGCTTCCAATGATGCACTGAGTATTTCTTCTTCACTCAACAATTTTCTTTCCATGTGTTTAATCATCACTATTGCATTTAGAGGTTTAAACCAGCATTAGTAATGATTAAACTCTGACTCTCTCCCTCGGCTCTCTTTTCTTTCCCCTCATGGCAGATGGATGGCCCTCCCTGAGCCCGGTTCTGCTGGACGTTTCTTCCTGTTAAAAGGTTTCTCCTTTACCATCAGGGAAGCACTTGGTGACAGTGGGATTCTTAGGGTGTTCCCTCTAATATTGTTGGGTCTTTACCCTACAATATAAACCTGAACTTCTCAGCTGGTAGAAGACAATAAGGGTGGAACATTACTTAAAGACAAGAAGAAACCTTATTAAAGGTTAAATGGGGATTCTAGACAGAAATATAATTTGCAACCCAGTGGGTTTGATAGCAATTAACATTTTTTTCTTGCTGTGTAAAAAGCACCTGCTGGGGAAAAACAGTGACTAAAGCTCCAAGCATCACTGAGTAAACCTATAATAAGACCAGATTCAGCTCAGATACATTGGACAGTCACAGCAGGAAAAGAGTGGGTGTAATTAATATTATAGATGGCTCTGCTCCATTTACAGGTGTTTGTGCCAGTATGCAACACACCTAGAAGGAATCCAGCCTTTATAAATGTAATGAGTAACACCTGTGCTGTTTGTCTTTGGAAAGGCTTGCCATTTGTGAGACCAAGAATGAGTAAGTGTGAGTGAGAAGGTTCGGCCTGAAGAGAGATGTTTGCTGTGTGACAATTTCATCTACTTTAAAAAGCACTTCAGTTAAATTATACAGGCAGCTTCATTCTGACAGGGATAACAACCAATATTAAACATGTGGAGCTGGACCAGACAGACAGACAGACAGAGTGTAAATAAATGAGAAACTGACCACAGTAATTGGCCAAAGGTATGCAGGTTAAGGAACATGTGTATTTGTCTATTTAGACCTAATTTTTCATCCATTACATTACTTTTTCTGTCACTTTCTATGTGACCAACCAGGTGGAACACTATAAATGTCTTTAAGAAATGTCTGTCCAAAAACATGCCACTTACTCAATATTTAAATGATTCTTCATGTTTTGCTCTTCCTGAAGTGAACAGCTCTGCTTTTGAGTACAGTTCTTTAGAACACAGGTTAACTGTTAATTCATTCACCTTGACAAGAAGCTGCTGAAGTTTTGCAGGTCACTTGAATCAAGCACCACATTCAGATCGCCGATGGTCTTCTTTGATCTCTCACTGTCCTGCAGGAAATAACACACAATCCATTATTCAGTTATAGCACAATGAGTCACTTTATTTACAGTGACCAGTTTCACCCATCTGTGTTGCTCTGCTTTAAATACTTTGTCAGATTAAGAGAATGTCACGCTGACATGTCATGCATGGCCCTTTGGATTTCACTATTATCCAATTATAAGAACTCACAAAAGCAAAGCAAAACAATACAACAGGAGTGACTGAACTCAAATTTCCTCTTGAATTTTAATCTCTATTATATAATTATTCTTGAGTTAAACTGGTTTCATTTCTCTTACAGATTCAAACAGCTGAGTAAGCATTTACAGTTCAGTGTCTGGACTATATATATTGTATTATATAACTGATATATAATCAGTAAAGTTTCTAAGCTACACTTTCACCATATCTTTTCATCATGGTTAATGTGATCAGGAGCAAAATGTGGGTAATAAACAATGGGCAGATGAGTGGTGACACATAATAGCTTAACAAATTAAGCCTGTTTTTCAGTTCCCTGAATGTGAGAAGCAAAACAAAACTGATCATTTAGCCTTATTAAATTGGGGAAAATATTTTCAGGAAAAGCCAAGGGCCCAGTTGATGCTCTAAAGAAATAGTTCAGAGCATTCACAATCCATAATGTGTATTATTTTTACTCACCTGTTTGTATTTTAACTAAATATACAAGAAAACCTTGCTTTTTATCTAACCTTTGGTAAATTTCTAAATGTTTTACAGAGTTAGGCTAGCCATTTCACCCCACCCCACCAGCCTTCATGCTGAACTTGGCTTCGACTAAACAGCTCTTTCTCTGTGTTAATGAAAAAGGTGTTTTTATATATATATACATATATATATATATATATATATATATATATATATGGAGATACGCTCATGGTTGGTTTCAATGTGTTACAACAAACAAAACAATTTAAGGTTACTGGAAGTTGTGCTAGTCCACATTAAGGTGCAATAAAAAGGTCAGTAAACATTAAACTACAATTAAGGGTAAGAAGAGATGGTTTCAAATCAACAAAACAAGTACTATTCTCATTAAAACAAGTTAAAACCCTTTGGCTAATTGTAATTTTAATAACATTTTGTGAAAAGCTTTAAATAAAACCATCTGCTTGCTCTAATAGTCAGTGCAGCTAGAATTAAAACCAGAAAACAAACAATTAAAGTCTTTACTGAGTTACTTGTGTCAAAAGGTATGGGTAAAATCTGCATCTTAAATGACTTCACGAAACAGCTTATATACATTATTCCTAAAGCCCAGCTTCACTGGTGGCCAAATGAGCTAAAATTAAAACCAGAAGACTTCTGGACCAACATGAAGCTGGTTTATTGGTCATTATACTGCACAATAAATTAAAAATTACTGTTAACTTTACATTTACACTATTAGCTGATGTTGAATTGTCTTTTTTTTTTTTATGTGACAGTCAAAAACGGGATTCTAACACACCTAGATATGAAGTAGGATATAAAACTTCAGAACTTTTTTGTTACAGATACAAATGTAGCCTGAAAGAGCTCCAAGTGCTGAAAGTTGTCCTCGTGTGTTCGGTTACGTTCACAATTTTGAAAATAAATATACACAGGATTTAGCCATTTTTGCAAGTTACAAATCATTTAGGAGGATACTGTGTTCAGGCACCTGCAGCCTTTTAAAACATGTTAACATTTCCCAAGTAAGCTACTGGTGAATATCATAATCATAGTTTTATTATTGTTACTGAATATCAGACATCATCACAAGAATTGTAAAACAACACCACTCATCAGTGAAACACTAAGGCACATGGCTTTGTCACCCTCTGCTGGCTGGACACAGCACTCCAGAAAGAATTCAGTATGGTTTTTGTCTCTGAGAATGTTTATATACCTTATTTTCTACTTTAGTTAAAGATTGAAACAAATTTCATCTGTCGCAAATTAAAGTGGAGTAAGATTAAGGCAACACCAGTCTTTGTATGATCAAAACCTTAAACAGATTGTGCATAAGACAAGTAGAGATACATGTGAATACTAATAATAATAATAGCCTATAACAATAACAACTAATAATCGATACAGTCCCAAGCTAAAGCCACGATTTTAGTTAATTTTTAAAATAATAAGTTTTATTAAGACTGAGATTTTGAGTATCTGAGCCAACATATCTACAACATGCAGACTCAACTGGACTTAAACACCAAGTCTGGGTCACAGTGACAGCTACATATATGGTTACACAATAATAATAATAATAATAATAATAATAATAATAATAATAGGTTAAAAAACAGAAAATCAGACACTAGATGGGTTAGAAATATGGACACAAGATAAAATAAGCTGAAAAGTACTTGCAAAAATCAAAGCAAGAGTTCAATGAACAGTTTCAGACCGGAGGAAAACTATAATCCATAAACAAAAACGGAAGGAAATATAACAACTCACCTTGATCTCGGAAAGCTGAAACTCGACCTGGAAGACCAGTTCAGAGCAGTTACCCGACAAAGAGAGCTGCTGAACCAGCTTTCTGCCACCTAACATACACAAATGCAATTATTTTTAGATCTATCATTTCATACCAAAATCCACTAAAGGGACCTTGAAGCCTACAGCGCATTGTGTTCCAAAAGAATGTTGTTCATGTATTATTTACATTCATGGTAGAAGCCTGTCTTTTTTGGCATACAGTCACATATAAGTTTTTGATCAGTGTCAATCATGCAGGCACAAACCAAATGAATATTGTTTAGCTCATCAAAACCTTGCAGATAATGGGAAAAAACAAACAAAAACAAATCAAACAACAAAAAATAAAATAAAAATACATTATATACTAAACTACACAGGGAACAAATGAAAACACTAAATGACATAAATAATTAAGATGCATCAGATTTATATTCTGATGGAATCTTAATCCTCTATTTAATACATAACAGGTCAGATGGCAGTGGAGACTGTGGTTTGAGACCCTGCTCTTACTGTTTTGTAGAGTCTTTGTGGTGCAGCTGTTCAAAGTGATGCCATTAATTTCTGTCTGCAGTTTCACATCCTCCTCCAGCTCCTCCAGCTCCTCTTTGAGTCTGGACATCACCATCTCCTTCCCTCCTTCTTGTCTCTGCCCGCACATGAACACTCTGTGAAGCCAAATAATTTATGATGTAAAGCTGTAGACAGATTTCGCAAAATGCAGAACAAAAATTAAAACTCACAGAGCATTTTCCATTTGTTGGCTGTAGTGGAACGTTATGTCCTTATTGATTTCCTGTTGTTGGTGCTGCAGCGATTCAACTTCAGCTTGAAGACGCTCGATCTCAGACTCAAGCACCTTCACCTCCTCGGTGTTCTCATCACTCATCTTCTCCATCTTGAAGGATAAAAATCAAATGATTTAGTTAAAACAAAGACACGCATATTAGTTTGCCAGCACAACTTTAGAACTTATAAAAAAGTATCAATTTGAAATTTACAGATTAAAACCACAAATCTACAGGAAAAGAAAAGAAAGAAAAAAAATTGTACTTAGAGGAATTATATATTTTCAATCTGAAAAGTTGGATCAACTTCATTATATTACAGACATTGCTAATTTTCATTTAATACCAGTTAATAATCTAATCAACCAATAATTTTATACTAATTATTGGATGCAATAAAGAAATGGTTTTGACTCTAACAGAGAATCACTGTTTTACCACAAACAACCCTACTTTCCTTCTCTTAACTCTCTCGTCATGGGTGCTTGTTCCAGTTTAGGTTAATCTAGCTTTGCAGAGTGAAGTGATAGGAATCCATGACGCTTGGACTAATAGGGTAGCTTTGCATTTGAATTCAAAATTAATCTCTCTTTATTTGACACTGGTGAAACTCCTTATTTTATCCTCTCCCTTTCAATTAACTTTAGTCAGACGAATTTACTGAAACGGTGAAAAGTGAACACAGCACCACTGAAGAGGTGCTTTTTCGAGAGTTTTAAACTATAAACGCACCAGTTAAGAAAAAAGGTGTCAAAGTGGTTACGCTTTCATTAGTTGAACCAGTAAATCCCGGCTAACGAGATACTATAAAAATAACAACAACGTTAACAACAACAGACAAACTTTCGAGCTAACTTTCCACAGCTGTTTCCGTTGTGAAGAAGAAGTGTTTTTAACAATTCACAGTTCTATTTCAGTAGCTGATATAAAAGAGTTCTGCCATTATTAAGTAATGATTATCTGTATTTACCTGTTTGTTTTCCGTTTCTTAGCAGATGGAACCGAGCACTTCGGAAACTCGCGCCCTCTGGATTCTACCACTTTTCTAAAATCCGAGGGGGGAAGAAATTGCCTCCTTGAATAACAGTCACGCCAGCTCTATGGCTCTGTTAAAACAAATACTACTGTTGTATACATGTTTGCATTTTAAAGTAAATATAAGTGTTTTATCATCGCAAATGAGCCACAAAATCATAGCCCACCAGGAATTTGGGTGACTCCTTCACCCCACGTAGAAATAATGGAAATCCGCAGCTGTACCTAGTGTGTATTATTTTTTCTCCTTTATCAATAAAATGGAATATAACAATTATATGTTAATTATCTTTCTTAAGTAAACACTTTTATAATTAAAAAATGTACCGGCATCCCTTAGCAGCGAGTTCGTTTATTTATTCATTTTTAAACCACCGTTGAGTCTACGGAACATTTGGGTGGTTCCCGAGAAAAATGTTACGGACGGATTTATCTGCAGGACCTCAGCTCCGGACAGAAATTGTGGTAACACCAGCTGGATACATGTGAGGTAAACATTTGTAGCTTTTCGGACTTTTTATGTAAAAATGTTCGCGATAACAAATAAGAGTAGTTATAAATCGACTCACTTAGAGATCATATATGTAGTAGATGCTCTGTGATTTATGTTATGCTCTATTTCTGGAGTTCCTCCAGGCTGAAATGGATTTACTGGATCCACTCAGTTGCTTACAGCTAAAACCTGAGGCTCTGCTCTCAGTCCAGTCCTCTTAAGTTTATTCATTTTGGACGCTGCTTTAAAAGGTGTTTCAGCTTTAAAGTTATTATGAAGTCTTTGGTTTGTAATTTCGTTGGATTGTGCTGTATTATACTGAGACGCACAATGTGCAGTGCAATGGAGTGGACACAATATTAGAAACAGTAAAACACAATTCAGAACCGTACAGACGAGCAGATCTCATCTGGCCTGATCTTTCATGCGAGCAGTGAGAGTATCTGTAGATTTATGAGAAGCATTTTGCTTTTCGCTTTTTGTTTGAATATGAATCTATTTTTTGTATGACTTTCCTGCATGTTTTACAAATGGTTATGTATGCAGTATTTATAAATGTGTAAAATATGCGAGGTAGTGATAGTGTACTTACTATGCCTGGTAGATCAGCTGAACATCAATTTACAAAGCTTTTAAAGTGTAGCCACCTTATACTTACAGTCACAGCAATGCGGCGACTGTACGTCGGTGGGTTAAGCCACACGGTCACTGAGAAGGATCTGAAGGATCGATTTGGAAAGTTTGGAGCCGTTGAGGATGTGGAGCTCCGGACCAGGAAAGACCCAGAGGGTGAGGAATCCAGTATACACTGACACACTTTGACAGCCAGAATGGTGACAGTAACGATGTTTAAATTCTGTTTATCTAATTTTATTGAAATCACCTTTCACATTCAGCACTGTCACTATCAGGTACTTGTGCAATTGTTGTACTGGAAGGCATCTGATATTAACGAACCAGCAGCATTCATTTATGTATAACTTTATTTGTTAAAAGTTAAAATCCAAAGAAAACTAAACTCTAAAGCATTTTCTTATTTTACTGTGCATTTCTATTTAAAACAAGAAAACATACTTAAAGTTTGAACTTATTTACATCTAATTTGCATTGAAAAAATCTTTAGCTGTTGTTCTCACACTCCACAAATTATACAACTTTATTTACAAGTGATGCTTAAATACAAGATGTCAGGGCTGCTCTGAACATTAAAAAGATTTTCAATACAACTGTGAAAGTTTAGTTTACTTTTATTTTTTTGGTCAGGGACAATAAAAATTAATCAGAAAAAGCATAATCGAAAATAGATTTATGATCATTATGTTTTGTTCATTATGAATTCTTACATCTTGATAATCTTATTGTTCCTCCTGCAGGTGTTCCCTTTAAAACCTTTGGCTATGTCAACATCAATATTTCAGATGCCGACCTGAAGAAATGTAAGTGACCATAGCTGCCGCTGAAAATCCTCAGATTTAACCCCAAGGTCTAAGTCATTATCAGTGACAACCCCAAACTTCTAACTCTAAACATGTGTTTTAAGATTTAAGGGTTGTCATCCCCACTAAGTGGGGTTAGGTTAATTGGAGACTCTAAATTGTCCACAGGCGTGAATGCGGGAGTGAATGTGAGTACAAATGGTTGTCTGTGTATATGTGTTAGCCCTGCGACACACTGGCGACCTGTCCAGGGTATACCCTACCTCTCGCACTAAGACAGCTGGGATAGGCTCCAGCGCCGTCCGCAACCCTGAAAAGGATAAGCGGAAGCAAATGGATGGATGTTATGCTCCAAGGTGCATAACACAAATACAACACAACAAAAGCAATATATACAAAAACCAGGAATAAGAAGCGTAGTTACAGTATATTTAAGTCTAAATAAGAATTGAGAGAAGCACAGATGACTATTTTGAGGGGAAAAAGTAAATAATTTCTTATGTGTGTCAGTGAGAATTATTTTTTTGTTTGTTTTATATTTACCAAAACCTTGGAGAAAACAAACATATTCTGTGAGCATAGGGTTGGAGTTGTCACCAGTGATGACTTAGACCTCACAGGGTTAACTAACTTATGTAACTAATATTCATTCACACTGTTAGTGGGACGCCTCATCCGCCAAACTGAAGGAACCCTTCATCTAAACATGTAGTTAACACTTTCAGTGAGAATTATGTTTGTGTTGTTTGCACCATTGAGTAAATTTTCTACAGTCTGCTTTCTAAACTAACGTTTAAAAAAAAACTGTTGCATTATGAGATTGGTGTGTTTCCTCTGCAGGCCTGACAGTGCTAAACAAGTCTAAATGGAAAGGGGGAACTCTGCAGATTGAAATAGCAAAAGAGAGTTTCCTGCACAGGTACAACCACGTCGATCGGGCTATGTAAATCTAACACTGACAGAAAAGTGGAAATTATTATTGAATTATTAGGGGGGTGATTTTTTTTTTTAACTCAGACTTTAATATCAAGGCTCACAACTGTTGATTGTCTGGTTTGAAAATTCTGGATTTTACCGTATGTTCACCAATCTTAAAAATTTGATCTCTGTACCTGTAGAAAATTATTCCTATCTATTAGCTTGAGAGCTAAAAGCTCTGTATTGACTGTGTCATAGGCTGGCTCAGGAGCGGCAGGAGTCAGTAGAGCAGCATCTCCAACAGCCTGCAGCTGAGGACAAGAGACAGAAGCTTCTGGACTCACTGAGTAAAGCTGGTGTGGACAACTTCACCATGAAGGCTGCGGTTCCGGGGACCGAAATCCCAGGACACAAGGTCTAGTCATACTCTTTCCCTCAAGACATGATTATAACGAATGCACTTGCTCTCTTGTGGGGTCATGTAGTCACAATGTGGAAACCAATTCTTTTAAAAATTGAATCCCCTTAACATAAATTATTACATTTTAGTTTTAAGGGTTTAAGGTTGGTGTTGACTGTCCTCTGGTTTCAGGACTGGGTGGTCAGTAAATTTGGACGGGTCCTCCCCATCTTGCAGCTCAGAAGTCAGAAAGGCAGCAAATCTCGAAACCTGAAGTACGACCCATCGAAATACAGCCACAATATTCGCAAACTGGACCGAAACACCATCCCTGATGAGGCCACACCTGTGACCCAGCTCACCTGGGAGGTCCAGGGTGGGGATGACGAAATCAGTAAGAAGAGGCGGGGAGAGTTCCCCCCATGTGAGCCATGGAGACCCAAGAAGAGTCGGACAGACAATGTTTCTGGCAGAACCAGGTATCCATGTGACCTTTTCAGACTATTCAAGTAAACCAGGTTTGATTTGGTTAATCCACAAGGTCTCAGTTGGTTTCTGTCTCCGAGGGCCTCTGGGATTTTAGATTTTCCTTCCTCGATCCACTTTGCCTCCTGGACATTTTCTGTAATTTCTGGGATGCCCAGGTGTTAGCTTTGGAATTATGAGGGATATCTACTGGTACAAGTGATTCTGACATATTTATTTCTGGAGTTAAGATAACTTTTTTTTTTAATGACTAAAACCTCTAATGGATTTATTGTGTTCTTCAAGCCACCTGGTTTCTGAACTTGTTAGAAGTCCACACTTGTTCCTGACATTCCATATTTCCATTTTTGTTTAATTCTCAAAGGTTCCTATCAGATTTCCTGATGTTCCTAGAGCTTTGCAAGCTTTCAATAATCCGTTCTGATTCATGGTGTCTGGGTTTTTGGAATACCAGTTTCTGAATATTTAGTGTCCCTTCCTTTTGTTGATTTACCTTAGATTTGAACACCCTGTCAACTCTGTCAATCGCACTGAGGGTCATCAGCTCACCAACGGATTTGAAAAACAAAACAACCACAGACTGGCACAGAAGAAGTGGACACACTTTACTGACAACGATGCCGACTCAGAAGAGGAAATCCGCAGGCTGGTGGCAGCTCAGCAGACCTCCCATGTTACACCACAGCAGCAGGAGGTGGAGGAGGATAATCTGGAAGTGGTTGGATATGACTTCTTAGCAAAATCTGCATGCATAGGTAACAGATGTGTTTGAAACAGGCAGTTTGCGCATTTTAAAAATTCAAATTTGTCATTGTTTATGTTTACAATTCTACCTAAGTGATGAGTTTAACTTTATGGCTGCTTGTGCATTTGAAAGTAAAATGAATATGTAGGTTCACGTGTGCAAAAATGCAATAACAAAGACTTCTCACACAGGATTCTGTTGTACTGAAGTAACCATGAAAGCCACAGGTTTCATTTTGTATGATTTTATTTGTACTTTGACGAGCAGAAAAGATGCCAAATTCTTAAACAGATTACATCAAGTAACCTGATTTTTATTTGTGGATTTTTGTGCCACATTGACTGCTAATTCTATGTAGTGCGTGTGTGGATGCAGATTTCTAGGGAAGAGTGCGGTATTAGCTTTATTCAAACCATGATATCAGGGATGTTCTTTCATTGAGTGACGCTGATCAGTACCAAATTATGTCAAAAGTCACTACAGTAAAAATAATAGAATTAAATATAAGTGAATCATTGTCATTTTCTCCATCCCAGAAAAAAAATTGATCTTTGGAATAGCAGGTTTTCCTCTTTGTGATTCCAGGTGATCAAGACAAGGATGACTACGACTCTGCTGACACAGATGAACTCTTTGCATCGAGGAAACCTCCTCCTGCTAAATGTCAGGAGAAACATACTCCCCCAACAGCAGAGCACCTCTCAGGAAACAACACAGACAAGAAGAGAAAAACAAAGAAGAAGAGAAAAGCTGGAGAGCAAGAGGAAGAGGACGGATCAACAGATGATGAAGAACACCT